CTCTCTCTCTCTCTCTCTCTCTCTCTCTCTCTCTCTCCTCTCCGAGCTCCACAGCTGTACAGGAAATCAGTCATCCACCATCCACTGCTGTCGCCATGGCAACACAGAGGGGGAAATCCATTCTCTCTTTCTGTCACCACCCCCTCCTCCCTCTCCTTTCTTCTGTCTTGTTGAATTAGGTGTAGCTCGCGTCCGACTATTTTCGTGATGTTTTGTTTTTTGCATTCAAACCGGTTCACTGTTAACCTCAATAACACTTCTAATGATCAAATCATAACGACGGCTGAAATGGGGAGGACGTATTTATAATCTGTACATTTCTCTCTTAAAGTTTTCCCCATTTGCATCCTTTCTAATACTTCCATTCAGCTTGTGTGCGATCATTTGAGCCGATTGTTTGAAAGTATTAGGTGACAGTGCGTCTCCGGCAGTGATGACCTCTCCGTAAATCCCATGGGGCATTGGGGCAGGGCAGGCGGGGCGGCTCTGTTCGGCTCGGGCCTGCAGCTGCCTGGAGGGGCCAGATGGTCACAAATCAGAAAGTAAATCCCAGCCCTTCCCCCGCCCGTGGTGATAACCCCACCCCTGCAGCACACACACACACACACACACACATGTAAACAATGAGCGTACAACATCATTCGAGCATCCTTCATCCTCCTCGTCATCCTCCTCATCCAGTATCACCATGGTTGTGTGAAAACCCTGTTAAATATGGTCATGATTTGCCCTCAGCTGATGGTTCTCCTAAGTGGTGGAGCACATTTTACAACACGTCGGGCTCATAAAACCCTGAAAACATTGTTGATCTGAATCCAACGCAGCTTCTCCCAGTTCCTGAAAAGCCGGCCTGATTCAAAACAATGCTTTTAATTTCACCAAAGAAAAAAATGACTGTGTTGATAGTGAAAGTCTGAAGTCGCTACATCTGCCCGTGTCCTCTTAGAGGTGGATTAACAGCACTTAATAAATCAGCCTATTAACGGAAAAACAGCTGCACTGACACCACACGGTTCAGAGATGATCCCCAGAGCCGATAATAAAACGCAGTAATCAGATTACAAATAAACAAATCTCTGGATTTATCTCTTCCCCAGTGATGGAGGGAGGGAAGGAGCGCTCTCACTGATGTTCAACAAGGACATAACAGAGCAGCACTGCACCGTAGCAGAGGGCAGTGAAGTAGATAAGCTTTAATTTAAACAATTAACTTACATAAACAAGCGCATCACCCCCGTTAAATAACACTAAAATGTTAAGTTATCTCAAACCCAAGAATAAATTGTATTTGTGGATGAATGAATAAGCTAAATAAATAAATGTATCATAAGTCAGTACTTCCCTATGAGTGAGATCTATTTTTAAATTAAATGTGTTTTATTGTTTAATCTTGTTTTATGTTCATCTTCATATTTGGTGACAGCATAGATGATGCTATTGTGCACAAAATGTGTTCAGCCGCTCGTCACAGATAATCTTTAATAGTTGCTCTTCTTGCTTGAATGGTTTTGATGCTTTTACCTTCAACTTTAAAACACTTCAAGGTTTTCTATTGGCTGCGAGTCAAGGGACATGGCTGGATCATCGTTTTCACTCCTTTCTTTTTTCCAAACTCTTTCTGTGTGTTTCAGATCATGGCCATGTTGGAAAATTCCTCTCCGGCCAATTTCCTTGAGACTGGGACTCAAATTTTGATTCAGTGTTTGGTTCCACAAATTCACAGTGTTGTGCATTTTCATTGCATTCATATAGTGTCGTCTATGAACGTCCTCTCCTCTGCTCTCATGCTTCCACCGCCATGTTTCACCAAGAAGTCACTAAAATAATTGTCGTAATCGCTTGAGACATTTTAGATAATTAGCTGAAAGTAAACACATAAAACAGGAAGTAACAAACCTTAACACTTTCCATTACCAACGCAGACTTGATTTTTTTTTCAAATACGAATAGCAATCTAATTATGAGACTAATAAAAGCATCTACTTTGTAATCCATTCATAAAAACATGACATAAGGTGACAATGAAGTGCACTGGAGCTCATCTGATTAGACTTTAGTTGTGAAAAATGTTGAGAAGCACGGGCACAGTGGACCCAGGAAGGTCTTTCACTGTTATCCTGGTGACAGAGGCTTCCTGTGTTCACCTTCACAGGAACCATGACTCACTAATTCTCCATCCTCCTCCACCTCCTCTCACCGTCTCTCCCTGGATGTGTGCTGTTACTGTAATGCTCAAGGAGAATAACATCTGCATGAATGAAGCTGAGGAAAGTGTGATTCACAGAAAACGAGATGTGCGGATGAGACAGCAGGGCAAAGATGAGCAACGTTCACTGAGTTTACCTGCAGGGGAAGAACACGCGCGCAAGAGAGCAGATGTACAGTGTGCTCACTTCAAGACAGATGCATAGAAGTGTGCACGTGCAAAAACAATTCTCTTTATCATGTTGTATTGACGACTGAAAATGTTTAGAAACGATTAAAGCCAGATAATGACTGTTAAAGACGTGTCTCCACCAGATGTGAATGCTGCCATCTAACACCGATGACACCATTTGGAGCCAGACTCTGCACATCAGCGTTCGGTGGGTGGAGCCATGGTATCAAGGTCCTGCCACTACACGCTCTCGACCAATTGTAAGTCAGTGACGTTTCGCCTTGTTTTTAGCGGAAACACGAACACTTGAAAATACAACAGTGTGAGAAGAACGACCTCAATCAAGACGCTCTGTCATGTCGTCCATCTTTATAGACAGTCCATGATCCAGAACACATGTAATGACTGACGCGAATTTCCAACTTTCCTGATCGCTCTATATCAACAAAGTCCATAGGCATGATCTTCTGAGGTTCTTTAATGGGTTAGACAGTTGTTGTGATATTTCAGTCTGAAACAAAGTGGTGGATAGATTAAATTATCCAGAATATTAATAATTATAAATTCAGCCCCATGTCTGTTTGAAAAGATTCAATTTAAACATGTCAGTTTCAGTTTACACATTAACATATGTGAACATGTTTGACCTGAAACACAATCTCTTGTGATAAGTCAACACCCACAATGTTCATGCACACCAGCTGCATATTAGATGTTGTTGATCACGCCCTAATCAAATGCATCCTGCACATGCAGTCAGTTCTCTGTGATCTGTGAAAGGGCACCGTGTGGGCAGCGCTGTGTTTGTTTCTCTGTGTTGCTCCGGCTTTGTAATGCAGTTGCTGGGCTGCAACTTTTTTTTGTTTTAATCTTTGATGGTTCACTGATGTGCACAGGTGGTGTGAAGCCTCAGCTCTGGCAGTGTCACACGTCATGTTTGCGATGCAGGGTGTTGCTGTTGGTGTCAAGTGTTGAATGAATGTTTCTCATATAGATGTACAGTAGCAGCTAGTGAGTCAAATGTGAGATAAAAAAGAAGAAAAATGCTGAGGAGAGCGATGCAGGAGCCAGTGTGAATATTTATCAGCAGGGAAATCCAGCCAGTCCAGACTGTCTTCTGTCCTGGTATGCATTTGTTTACCGTAGGTGTTTAGAGAGACAGTCAAGGCTTTTCCTGTGGACCTCTGGGAGATGCAGGGAGTGTGTCCTTAAAGCAGAAAAGAGAAGACAGAGAAAGGGAGGGAGAGGAAGAGGAGGAGGGGGTGGGTAGGTTCTTGCAGCCTGAGCATTTGGCTGAAGGGTGGAGACTCAGAGCAGCAGTGAGGAGGGAGGCAGGGAGGATCTCAGCTGGAGCAGAGAGAGAGAGAGAGAGAGAGAGAGAGAGGGAGAGGCACACAGAGAGAGGAGTGTGTGCGTTGAATGTACGCGCCTGCCTTGCTGACTGACAGACGGACTGTGTGTGTGTGTGTCTGTGTGTGTGTGCGTGTTTGTGTGTGACAGAAAGAGAGAAAATCGCGTGGACACTACTCTGCAGGACTGGATACGTCTGGCATCACGGAGGAGAACACGCACGCTACAAGAAAGGTAGGATTATTCTACATTTTTGAAAGGCAGGTGTTATTTATATTGAATTTCTGTCCTGGTGACATCTGGGTTGATTGCATCCAAAACAGGGTGTGTTCCAGAGGAGCAGAAGGGGGGGGGTGTTCATCCACACTGTCATTTTGTCAGCGCTCGAGGGGCAAGATTGATGCCGCTGGCTGGTTTGCATCATGGAATCCCCTCCTACCTCTAAAAATCGTAAAAAAAAAAACAACCGCCTGCTTCTTTATTTTCCTCACCTCCCTTCATGTGTACATTTGAGGGGAAGAAGAGAATGGACAGCCTTTCTCTTCTTCCACCCTCCCTCTTCTTCCCTCAGGATTGGGCAGATCTTATAATGTGGAGCCAGAGGAATTAAGGGCATCTGTTTCTGAGGGATATTTGCACGAGGACAGAGAATGAGAAAGATGAAAAAAGGGGGATGTGGCATACAGAAGAGGGGGATGCAAGAGTCAGGGGGGCAGAAGAAAACCAGAGAAGAAACCGACACGCCTCCCACAAGGTTTTCCAGCCACTCTCAACCCTCTCGCTCCCCCATACCTGGAGGAGAAAGCAGTTGACCACACACAAGCTCCATGTAGTGGTTGTATCAGGCAGTTGGCTGAGAGAGGAGGTGGAGGAAGGGGGAGGTTGTGTTTTTATGCCGTTCATAGACAGATAACGTCTCAGACAGTGGTTTGCATTCACAAGAAAACCCAGAAAAGGAACAGGATGTGCTGTTTTTCCCTCTCTCAGCTCGTCATGCGAAAGCATCGTCATGCAGAACTCACATTAAATCATCCAATCGTGTGTGTGGTTGTGTCTTACACATGCAGGCCTGTTACAAATACACACAGCGAGTCAGAATTACGCAAGAGCTCACATCCAGGCAGCTCGTACTGTATCTCCAAGGCAAGCTGCTCCAAGGCCACAGATTTTTTTCACACACGTCAGTGTTTAGGCTACAAGAGACGTTCAGTGTCCAATGTTACACCAGGAACGTCAAAAACCCTGAGAGTTATCTGGAACGCAGTAGAAAGTATTGAGCTCTACAGGGGAAAAGGGAGGGATTACAGAGGAGAATAAGGAAACACGAGCAGCCGTTCACGCTTTATTGACCACTTTGACCTCTCCACTCCCTTCACAGCAGTCCACTACAAGAATTCTTCCATTTCAGATCAAAATGTGAGTTTGCCAAAAGCATCTGTCTGCTCAAAGTCATGTCAGTGTGAACCTGAGACCTTTAAAACAGACTAACTTGTGTCTGTGAGATGTAGACCGCTTCAGAGGGAGGAGTAACATGAGGTAGGAAGGATGTTGTTGCCCTGGAGGCCTCGACCGTTGTACAGGCTGCACCTGTTTGTTTCAAACAGTGTTGATCTTAAAGTTTACTCAAACTATGGTTTGTCACGATACAAACTTCCAGAGGTCTTTGTAGATTTTTTTATTTATTTATTTATAATGGTTTGAGATTCAAGTTGTCAAGTCTTACAGGGAAGGAACAAGTCAACCCTCATGTTCTGTCCAGCCAGATCTCAACTATTCCATAGTCCTCGACTTTTCAAGTTTTAATCCAAAGTCTTTAAGGTCTCAGAGCTCTCAGGGTCAAAGGAGCTGTCCAGTCTTCTGTGGTAGGTCTTGTCCAATCAAGTCTTGAGACAAGCACAATCCATTTTTTAATTCCTTGTTTTTGTTACTCAAGTCTGAATCCAGTCAATGTCTCAAGTCTACAGTCTTTGGGTCCATGAGGGTAAAATATCATCTTGCTTTTAAAGCTAAAGTCAAGTCTTTACTGACTATTCCACCAGAGCTGTTTTTAGGCCTTTCAGGCCAAATACAAGCCCGGGTCTTGTCCAACCAAGACTCAAATCAAGACCGTGCAAAGTCAGGTCTCACAGTTGTCAGTCACAAGTCCTCTTATTTGTGACATATATCTAATCTAATCAGCTTTTTTGACTAATTTGATTTTTTTGTGAGAAATCCAACCAACTCTCGGCTGAGATCCATTAGAAGTGAGGTCTCAAGTGCTCCTTTGGTGATTTAAGTCTAATCGAGGTCTAGCTTAAGTGTTTTCCACAGAAGTCTCAAGTCTTTTAATTCACAATCCAAATCTTGAGTCAAGTCTCAAGTCAGGTCTCCGGTCTCAGGTCTTTGAGGGGAAGTCAGAGTCAAGGCTAAAGTGTTCTGCATCACAGAACTGCATCTTCAGGTCTTTAGGTAAATGCTGACCTTAGACTTTCTACTGACAAACGCTCTCAGTCAGTTTCTGGCAGTTTGGATAAAATCTATGAGTCTTCCCTGCAGCAGGTACACTTTCATTACTCTGCAGTTAGAGCAACTCAGGGTCTGAGGCTCTCTGAGGAGCTCACTCACACTCTCAGCAGAAACTAAACAAGCCCGGATGTTTGTAATATTGTTAACAGCCCAGGAGTCTGGCCGTGTTATTCTTGGCATGCTGATTGATTCCAGAGGAAAAGTGTGTTCATGCCTCCGAACTCAAATGGAAATGCACTAGTACTGCTCATTCCACACTGTTAGAGCCCAGAGATGAGAGCTTAATGTTCACAGGATATGGTAAAGGTCGTCATCTGTGACATGGGGGCAGGAAGGGCTGTGCGTTGTTTCTACCCCACTTACTACACTGCATTATGTAACACACATATCAAAGGTCTTTTAAAATAAAACCACTTGTTTGCCGCTTTAATCTAACAAAGAAGAAACATGCTGATCCTTGATCGTTTGATTTAATAAACATAATGGACCAAATTTGCGCTCCCTGGAGCAATGAGCATCCTCCCTGCTGCCTCCTTGACTCCCAGGGGATGCATCATTTCCTGGGCCACTGCCTTTTCCCTCCCCCCCTTCTGGGACCTAGATTAACCCTCAACACACACACACACACACACACACACACACACACACACACACACACACATCATGCAAGTGCATAAACACACATACACCACAACCTCGAAGATGGCAGGATGGGCAGGGCATGCTGGGGGTGGCACAGATGTCCGGGCTAATCGAATGATCACGGGTGGCCTTGGTCTGACCGAGAGGCAGCAGCACGAAGTGAAACCAAACACAGACTGTGTATTTCTCCTTTAAAATGAACTGAAAGGATAGTTTTACTGTTTATACTGGGTTTGATTTTAATGTAAGTGCCAGCTGTGGTGCATTTGCTGCCATTCTGCAAACAGTTTGTCGACGTGTGTGTGGTTCTTTTTGCTTTAAGATATTCCCAGTATCTTTAGATTTGAGGCTTTGACGTCATAACAACAATTTATAAAGATGCTGAAGATTTGGTGCTTTATAACTTCACTGTAAATATTTCACCAGAGCAAAACCTCCCTCCAAACAATCTCTCTTCCCAAAGTGTGGATCCAAACCACAAAGGTACTATTAGATGCCTCCCTGGGGAGGCAAATGAAGACCATAGACACTAAATGTTATGTGATAATAGGACCTTCTAGTTCACTTTTAGGATGCTCTATTTTTGGGGCTAACCTTTCCAAATGTCCCATATTCCTGCAAAGGGTGTTGGAGGCTGCTGTGATGTGAGGTCCAGGTCATACTGCTCACATCCTGGTACATTCAGGAATGGTGATGGAGAAAGCGGCTCAGCTGTCACAGTCGGCGTCATCGTCCCCAGACGATCACGACCTGACGGCTCTGCTCTCTGTGTCCCGACTCTTTGTGTTCGTGTGCAGGGGGAGCCGTGTCCTTTCTCCAATTCAAGGGCATGGACCTGTGCTATATTACATTCAACAGTCAATATCCTCTTGATCGTGTTCATTAATAACTCCAGAGGTCAGTTTTAAATTACCTCTCCTTGCTGCGGTCGCTGTAAAACACTCAAGAAGAGGATATTACTGCCACTTTTATCTTCCTGCCAAACTTTTCTTTCCTATTTCCAGCTTTTCTCTATTTTTATCTCATTCCTTTCACCATCTCCTATCAATTTACGACTCTGTAAATCTGTAAATCTTTGTTTAGCTGAGCGTGCCCTTCACCGCCTCTTGTTTCACAGTGACATCGCAGAGTGTACCTCATTGTCCTATGACACACTGAGGATGGAACAGTCACTCAGTCACACTGTCAGGGCTCGGATGACTTCCACCGCCACATTGTCTTTGAAGAAATATAAAAAAATACATTTCCTTAAATCCACAGGGGGGCTCTGGATTCATTTTGTGACTTTTGTAGTAAAACACTTACTACAAAAAGGAAATGACTCACTCAGCAGAGAAAAGGACCATGTCAGCTTTTACAGTAACAAAACTGGATTCAGGAGTTTTTTCTGTGATGAATAAATTAGCATTCTGGTTTTTTCCAGCAACAATAACCCACGGGGCAGGGTTTAGTAAACTGTCAGTTGTTTGCGTCTGAAGTTTGTGTGGCCCTCACAACTTAGCCCCTGTTTATGTTGAGCAGGGGTCCCATCCTGCCTCCGCTCAGTCCCTGCAGACCCTCGCAGGTTAATCGCTGGCTCTCCAGGGTCCAGACGAAGGAGCCAGGGACAGATTTTTAATTACCACGCTCTGATTTCACACTCTGGGCATCACAGAGGACAGAACACTCCCTGCCTGGCCGCCTTAATTTCTCTCTTTGGATGGTGTAAAGGAAAAAAAAGGCAGAATAATAAGGTGTGCACTACAGAAGGAGAACGGGGGAGAAAGGGGGGAGGATGAACCAAGCTGAGAGTCAGCGTGTGTGGGAGTACATGAGAGATCGTCATTCTCGACAGGCCAGGAATTATATTTTCCTCGCCAGGATGTTTCCTGCGGTGCTTAATCACCCTTTAAGTCAGCGACACCCAGAGTCGAGCAGCAGCTATAATCACATCTATGGAGGGGCCCCGTCATGAACACAGACCCCCCGAAAACCCCGGAGGAAGGGGTTCAGAACAGCTCCAAATGGCAGGGCGAGGATGGCAGAGGGGGTCAGATTGATTCGGTGGTGTTGGCAGAGGGACAGAGGGTGTTGGGGGTGTTTTAGTCCTGAACACCTGTCGGCCACAGGAGGGAGGGATGGGAAGCAGGAGGCTGGAACACAGGATAGAAATGGATCACCAGACACATCACATCATGCATATTTCTTCTCTTTCCCCTCTCACTGCAGTTCAGTTCAAGATGCGTTGCCGGCATTAAGCAGAGAACAATATCGCCAAAGCATCTAGATTTAAAAAATCTGCTTGCTCTCTCTGTTCTAACACTCATCAATGTGATGTCACAAACATTCTACAAGCAAAATCTAATTCTGCACTTTTTCTGTAATATGGTTACACACACTAGCTAATTATGAATTATTCATCAACAGAAAATTCAGTGAAAGAACAGAGACTGTAATGTGATAAAACTTTTCATGTCTCCACTCAGTCCAAACCAGCAGCACACAACAACAAACAGTTTTTTTTCCTGAGAAGCGTAAATGTGAGTCTGATGAGTGGAGAGCCGGATGTCTCCGAGGGCGAGCACATGCTCTGAGCAAACAAAACTTGGTCACAAGCTCCAGGTCATGTGACTGTTTGGCTTCAGAACCCGTCTTTCAGCCGGAAAGATAATGTCAATAATGATTAGTTGAAACTTAGTTTTGCATATTTTCTGACAGTGTATTTCAGTTAATATGTAAAAGAATTAACATAAAAAATATGCAATTTACCTGCACGATGTAACTAAAGAAAAGAAGATTGTTCCATTTGTTTTCCATTCAGATTCAGTAACATATGATATTATTTATTGAGATATATATTTCAAGTTATCTGGCTTTGTTTTGTCAACGTTTTCACCAGGTCAGTGTCACTGGGAAACTTTTTCTGCTCTGGTTTGTAAATGGATGCTTCAATGTCACGTTGCTTTAGTGTGATTTACGATGGGTAGAATTCCCGTCCTCTGCAGATCTTCTCATGCAGGGTAATTGGCCCATTTATCAGAAGCAGCAGAGTGAATGTGTTGGACCAGAGAACGAGAGACAGAGGAGTAGATAGAAAAGAGGGGTGGACAGGTCAGAACCGACAGGACGCAGCCAGTTAGCTTAGATAGTCTCTATGCTAAGCTAAGTTAACCAGCTGGTAGCTGTATCTTTATTAACAGACATTTCAGATTGTTGTGGCTTCACTTTTGGGAGCTGTCATCCATCTTTAGAAACAGTCATTAGTTCTGAACATCGCAAACAAACTAATCTTACAATAAAAAAACACTGAAGACACATAACCCTGCTACTTCTTGTTGTTCTATTTTCTAGGCCCAGGCTAGCGGGACAGCAGTTTTCCCTGTTTCCAGTCTGAGTTAAGCTAAGCTAGTTACAGCTTCGTGTTGACTGCACAGACATAATAATGGTATCAACCTTTAAAACCTTAAATTCACGACTTCCCTCTGTTTGTTGTTGTGTTTTTCCATCAGTGTTTGACTTTGAGGCCTTGAGTTTGTAAGAATGAGCTGTGACATTCTGACACACAGTGACCAGAGGACACACAAACACACACACACACGCACGCACGCACGCACACACACACACACACACACACACACACACACACACACACACACACACACACACAGTCTTGGCATAATTTATCTGGAATGCAGGGATGAAAGCGCACAGAGCCTCTGATCAGCGTCTAAATGTCACCGTCTTTATCTTTCCTCTGGGTTTGCAGAGAGCGAGCTGGACACAAACTGCTGACTGAAGTGCAGGCGGACACCGGGGCAGAGTGCGGAGGAGTGAGCAGACAAGGTAAGTCACGTCAAGGCAAGAGGAACAGGCAGCGCAGCATTATCAGAGGAGGCAGAGACCCAGCACGTACACAGCGGCCAGTTTAACATTACAGCATGAGTGGTCAGTGATGACAGCATCTCCGAGCCGCTCAGAAACTTTCTGTTTGCAACTTGTGTGACAGCGAAGAGGTTTTCAGTTCATGGCGACGGCTCACACAGTTGAGGCCTGCGTCTATCTGAATGCATTATTTATCAGTGCCCACAATTATCAGCATGTTGACACCATGTGTAACATCTCAGGGTGGTATTTTGAGCAGCTGATAGGACGGAAGGAAGGAATGAGGGACGGAAGATAGAAAATGGGGTTATATGAGCAGCGGATAAATTATATCCTGAAAGAAAGAGTAAACCAACTCCCAAAGCCAAAAGGTTAGGCCACTGTATTCTCTGCTTATCGTTCTTTTGAGGCCCTTTCAGTTGCCTTCCAGGTACCAGCTCCTCCGCTGCGTGCCCCCCCCCCTCCATAGATATGAAAATGTCGGGCTGGCATTTTGGCACGCTCCTCCGACAATAAACAGGAACTAACTTTGTAGATGCAGTGACAGCTTTGTTGAATGGCTTATCTTTAATATCAAGATGTTTTACATATTCCACACATCCAGGACATGAAACACACTCCCACAACTTTCTGCACATTGTTGTGGTACAAAACAAACGTGTGTTGATCAGTGAGTTTTAGAGGTTTGTTAGAAACAAACTGAACTGACACACTTAATCAAATCAAGAGATTTGAATCCTCTATTTTCATTCAGGGGTTCCATCCATATTAGCACCATCATGCCAAACTAAGATGGTGAGCAAGTTAAACATAACACATGCCAAACATTACCATATTAGCATGTTGAGCCTGTTAGCATGATGACATTGTGATTTCTCCTCTCCAAAGACGAGAGAGAAACAAAAATCATCCCTCGTATTTCAGCCCCTTGAGACGCTGTTTTTAATTTTTGTTTATGATATTTACTAAAATCATCATGTCTCTCTGTCAGTCTCACATATAACTAGGTTATTGTCTCAGTGTCTGATCGTTTTCTGTAAAAAACGAAGCCCTACTTTTTCATAGACATCCCAGAAACCTTTAAAGAGTGACATCTCTCCCTATCAATAGTCTGGTGATAGGCTGGCCTGCTTTGACGTTTCCCCTGAGTGTTGAAAGAATGTTATGGCCTCGAAACACTACAAAGACTCATTTCTACTCAGTTACGCCCTTGTAAGAAGTCTATGGCCTATTTTTTTGTTTTGGCCAGGGAGACATCTGAGGTTTTCTTGCCAGAGTCACAACATATTTGTGCAAAATGAGCCTTTTAAATGATTTTAAAATAGATAGAGCAAGTCATCCTCTAACCAGAAGGTTGGCAATTCAATCTCCGTCTCCCCCATTCTGCATACCGAAGTGTCCTGAAATACACTGAACCAGCTCCATCTGTGATTGTAAGATAATACAGGAAAGTTGGCATATGGCTTCCACACAGGGAACCCAGATTATTGTATTTTAACCCCACAAACACTGAAGCCAGGAGTCCACTGAGAGGAAGTAATCCAAAACCCCTCCAGATGGTGTAAACACGACCTGGACTCGTTTCCTTTCCTCTGTTTCTTGAACATTTCTTCTGCTTTTTAAAGCAAAATAACATTTGGGACATTTTCAGAGTAACCTGCTGTTCAGACTTGACCCATTTCAATCTGACAACAAAACAGATGTAGAATTATGTATTCTGACACTTAGCTCAGTTTAAATAAAAGCACTATCACCATAAAAGGTGAGACTCTCCTCAGAGTGAGAACAACCAGGATCGCTCTGCTGCGCTGACTGTAAAACCCAATGTTTATTAAGGCTGCTCAGTCTGCTGCAGGTTTTGCTCATGAATCATCCTCAGGCTGTCACTTGGTTTACACTGACGCTGGTTCGAGATATTCCAGTTCAGTTCAGATATGTGTTTCAGCCTTAAAGTGGGAATGGGAAAGTGAATAATGTAAAATTTCCCCTAAACCTGTGTTTGATAACGTCTTCTAGTCACTTTTGAAATGTCTAAGAATAATACACTAATCTCTTTGGGCTCATGCTGTGCATAGAAACTTTATGAGTGTGGATAAAAACACCCACACTGTAAACTCTGTCAACGTCAAACCTGAAGCCACGAAATGCTTTGTAAATGAAGACTGTTATCGTAGATGAAAGCATATTAAAAACAGTTCATCATCTGATCAGACACCGCTAACAGTGATAACCTGTACATAGAGACTGATGTGCAAGAGACCAACGAGGTATATAAAAAAAGATTTTTGCAGAACTTTAACATTCACAAAGAAACAATATAAAACACCAGAGGAAAGAAAATGTCTCCTTTGAATTTAAAATAATATGGAGACGACATACTTGGCTCTGAGAATTTTATTGTTGTCCTTTTTAAATTTTTTCATTTTGATCCCCTCCAAAGATTAAACAATGATTAATAGAAAACTCGTTAGGAAACTTGAAAAAGAAAACACATCACCATCCATACATGAATGAGAATCATCAGAACGTATGTGTCACTGACTGACAAGAGGTTCTGTGGGGAGTCTGAGTTTATTAAGAAACAGGAAACTAACATGTAACAATGCAGGGCAATACAAAGACAGAAAAAATATTGGAGTTATCACGTGAAGGGAGACAAAGAGCAGCCGGTGACCCTGTGCTGAGGTTGTGATTAATAAAGAACGTCAGGTCATCAGGGTTCAGGTCGTGTGACACCACAGACTCCTGCGGCAGTTTACCGGCCTGATGAGCAGATGTGCCACCATGGAGCATCAATATTCATGCTCAGCTCCTGCACCTCGCTGAGATCAGTGTTGACCTCACACTGAGTGGCACCGCAGCGTGTACGGACGGATGATGGAGGGAGGGAGGGAGGGGGTAGCACGGGGAGGATTGATCCCACACCGAGGAGGATGCTGTTTTAGAGCGCACACAGCTTGATCCGGTTAATCAAAGAGGTTATAAAAGGCAGAGAAGCAACTGAGGACACGGAACTAAAACTGTGAACCAAAAGGTGGCAACTGTGAGGGAAAGTAGATGGTTGGTACAACGTGGTAAAAACAGATGCTTCCATTCATGTGGGACACCAGGCCTCACTGAAGAGCGTCATTCAAGTCAACATCAAAAGCCAACACTTGGGATGATGGGAGATCACCACCATCAAAACAACAAATTAGAGACGTGTAGAGTCAAAAAGAACTGCAGCTTTTCTGTAAGACACTGATCTGGGGATTCCACTCATCTGTCTGTTCACTACACTGCTTTGGCTGTAAGCATCATACATATATATATTTATTTTTCTGTAAACACAATTGCATCTAACTTCTTGTATAATGTCCTGACAGGTGACACGTCCCAACCAACATCAGTGACTGTGAAAACTTTTAAAATGTTTGAATCTCAAAGCTGCTCTGATCGATATTTCAGATCAAATGGCTCATGTGTGTTCAAGGTGAACAACGTCACTGTGTCTGTCCTCTCCCATCAGTGTTGTTGCCAACAGCAACAGGCCTTGGAGAACAAAAATCTCATGAGCTCATACCTCGGGGACTTTTGCAGCTTTACCCAACATGTTTCTCTTGAAAATTAAATATTTCATTTTCAAGTGGTACTCATATTTTTTTCTTTACTGGCAATTATTGTCTATTTGAATTCCCACCATGCTAAAAAGTAATTTAAGTGTGCACGCAAACAACTTGACTAAACTGTCATCTATCACTTTATGTCCAAAAACTAAACAGAAAGTTCTGCCCTTTTGTCCAAATATAAATAAAAAAACCTGCAGTGTTGATACTGTCTTTATTGAAATGTACTGTTTTGCATTTAACGATAAGATAAACCAAACCACAGAGCACCAAACTGTGAGCTGTGCCAGACGCAGGTAGAAAACACTGGGCTGTGTTTGCATCTGTTGCCCAGAGGTGACCTGTCTTACTTTGCATCAGAAATAAACTCCATCGGTTTATCGATGTATCGCTCTTCTCACGAGGCGGAGCAGAGTCTGAAGTACGAGCAGGTCTGAAGAAAACAAAATAAGAGTTTTTGTCTGTGAAAGCAGTCATGTCACTTATCCGTTTATCTATTTTAAATATAGTCCTCGACAAACCGCTGCCCCCTCACTCTCCTCCCACCCTCTCTGCCTCCCCCTCACTGCCACGGACTGCCTAGCAACTGACACCATAAATAATGTGCCTGTGTGTGTGAGAGTGTGTGCGTGTGAGAGAGTGTGTGAGTGTGTGTGTGTGTGTGATCGCAGGCATGTGATGATAATAAACAGGGTATCTGTTAGGAGCACTCCTCTTTGCATGCCTCTTGTATTATGGTGTTCGTCCTCGTCAGTGTCACACTGTGGCTGAAGTACGATGATGTGTAAACCTCTCTCTGTCTCTCTCTCTCTCTCTCTCCATCCCCCCCTCTCTCCTCCATCTACACAGAGCACACAAGACCCGACTGATAGCGCCCAATGGCGAGCAATAACACGGCCAGCATCGCACAAGCCAGGAAGCTGGTGGAGCAGCTGAAGATGGAGGCCAACATCGACAGGATAAAGGTGCGTTGACACGTTTTCCAGGCAGCTCTTAAACCCAATGAGAATGTTGGACTGGAATTGATCAGCAGACTTTAATATGACCTATGCATTGTCAAACTTCAATTATCACTTATAGAGGGGAGATAAAAATAGACGAACACTGGGGTCTTGAAAGTGAAGCCAATGTGGAAGTGCCTGAAACCTGCATTTCCCTTAATGACCAGCAGAGGGCGACTCCACTGACCACAGTCACTTGATCGATAACGTCACTTAACATTTTCCTAAAGAGTTCATGTTCTCACTCTCTAGTTTCAAGTCCTCTTCAACACAGCGTGATGTTCATTTCGTAAATTATATATTGACGATAAAACACCATATGCGTTGGCGGCATGGATACTTTCCGATTGACAGCTAGCACTGTGTAAGTGGGCGTGCGGCGTCGAGGGGCTGTCAGTCAGGCGTCCAGACACATTTTCTGAAAACACATTTTCCAAGATCGCTCTGTAAATAATCGAAAGATGATCTGCAGCTTGTATTGATCCAAACATGATTATCAAATAATTATTAATCATATGATGTCATGAAGGATTCAAAACATGCATTTTCAAGGCAGCTCTGCATCCTATAAACACGACCTAGAGATTATATAGATTTAAAAATAGCTTATAATCATAATGGGAGAGTGATGTCATCATGATGTCACTGGGAAATGAATGCATTAAAATATAAAAGAAGTTACCTGAATCCAGGTATATGCTGTATGGCTAGCCCCTCTCCCCTGATTCCAGCTAGTAAGCTATGCTAAGCTAACTGGCTGCTACCTGTAGTTTCTTATTTTATGTATAGACATGAGAGCAGCATCAATCTTCTCATACAACTAAGTACATTCCCTAAAATGTCTAAGTTCGTCTTTAAACCTTGACCATTCTGACACGTGTGTGTTTTTTAAATCCAGGTTTCAAAAGCAGCGGCGGACTTGATGTCGTACTGCGAAGCCCACGCCAAAGAGGACCCTCTGTTATCGCCGGTGCCAGCGTCAGAGAACCCGTTCAGGGAGAAGAAGTTCTTCTGTGCCATCCTGTAAACTCGGCATGGCCCCTCAGCAGCCTGCTCAGTGTGGGACTTTGAACGAGGACGTTCAAAATACGTAGAAATCTTCTAGTAGGAGGGCACGGCGATTAATGCCCCCTCCCCCCCTTTCTCGAACGGCACCTACAGAGTGCACAAATTAAAACCAGAGTTAACATGTAAACATTAAAGGGGTTGTGATTGCTTTGTTGAGGGGGGTTGCAGCATGTTGAAGGGGTCTGAGCTTTTTAGATGAAACAAAAGGGATGATATTGATAACGATGATGATGATGAGGAGGAGGAGGAGGGGGAGTATGATGATTACCCAGAGACGCAGAGTGATGGACAACCAGTCAACCAAGACAAGTCTTCAGGTTGTGACGTGTAGAAAACAAAACAAAACAAAAAAAACTGATAAAATGAGAATAAAAATATCTTGTGGTTGTTTGGGGACTTCCAGTTGTTCTATAAATGGTTTGTTGGTGGCTCGAGCTCCGTAGGACAGAAAAACAAAAAGTACCCTTCCACTCGACACCACCTGAATCTTGGAATGTTTTTTAAGTTGTTTATTTTATGTTTATTTTACCTATCACCTAGATATCTTTCTATAACTGTACGTGTTTACTGCTCTGTTAACTTCTTCTTTTTTTTTTTTACACCAACAGGTTAGTGAAAGCTTTTTTAAATGGGATGTTTGAAACATTCCACTCCGTGATTCTCTTTACAAACACCTTTCGGAAAACAACCAAGTCTCTGTGTATCAACATCTATCTGGCAAATGTGATGCAGTTTGTCTCCTTCAGATACAAACCCTCTTTCTACTCTTTGTATAAAATGACTAGCAAGTAAACTGTGCTGTGCTGTGAGTTCTGAACCGTTGTGTTTGTATCATTGTCTAATTACATGAAATGAGCAAAACAAGCTTCCCTTTCCTTTCGTGTGGAGATTGTATGAAACGGGGGCCCGGCCTCAAATGATTAAAAGGAGAATGATTCAGTGTGGACGTCTGTCAAACGTCAAGTAAAAACAACGATGACCGACAATTTTGAGACGATTGACTGCAGAAGGCATCAGAAGGCTGAAGATTGGTTTGGATGCTCCTGATAAACTTACTTTTATTTATATTCAAACTAAAAATAAACTGTTTTAACCTTAAAATATTCATATGTTCACTTATTTTTCTTTAAATTAGCAGGAAGAATAAACCTTTTTTTCTACTTATAACAGTTTATTAATTTATATCTGCTTTAAACTTTAAACTGAAGCTCCTCAGAAGTTTTTACATCTTTTAAAACATTTGAAGAGTTTTAAATAAAGTGGATGGATGGATCAAGGCAGTTCAAGATGTTCATCCACTGTTCAAGCACCATTTGTTTTCTGCTGCAGGAGGTGGTGCGCCCCCTACAGGTATTTTACGTGCAACTGCATGGATGATATAAATACATGTATGATTTTTTTTGCATCTCCCTTTTCAGGATTATGAGATACAATTAATTTACAAAAACTTGCATCTTCGTCTGGCGTTAAATGAGGTTACCAAATGTGGAGGAAAGAAAAATCTACCAACGTATGTTTACACAACTTTTACATGTACATTGTCAAGATAAAAAATCTCAATATAACTGGTGGGTAAACACACATCCAACACAATCAACAAGTTCATCATCCAGAAATAAGAATAATACGTAATGTTCACCTGTTTCACAACAAGACATTAAATAACAAGGCAAATAATTCAATATTTAGATGTCACCTTGTTGTGTTAGTACATTTACTTAAGCTTAAATTGAGCTGTGTACTTCTACTTCTGTCATTGAAGCAGTACAGTATAAWACATGTATAAGTCCTACATAAATAGAAGCACTGTACCAACAGGACAAAAAGATATTGTCAGAAGTGGGATTCGAACCCACGCCTCCAGAGGAGACTGATTTTTTTTTGCATCTCCCTTTTCAGGATTATGAGATACAATTAATTTAYAAAAACTTGCATCTTCGTCTGGCGTTAAATGAGGTTACCAAATGTGGAGGAAAGAAAAATCTACCAACGTATGTTTACACAACTTTACATGTACATTGTCAAGATAAAAAAATCTCAATTTAACTGATGGGTAAACACACATCCAACACAATCAACAAGTTCATCATCCAGAAATAAGAATAATACGTAATGTTCACCTGTTTCACAACAAGACATTAATTAACAAGGCAAATAATTAAATATTTACATGTCACCTTGTTGTGATAGTACATTTACTTAAGCTTAAATTAAGCTGTGTACTTGTACTTCTGTCGTTGAAGCAGTACAGTATAAAACACGTATGAGTCCTACATAAATAGAAGCACTGTACCAACAGGACAAAAAGATATTGTCAGAAGTGGGATTCGAACCCACGAACTCCACAGGAGACTGCGACCGTCCAACATTGTGACTGTAAGAGCCAATCGGATTCTCAAGTCCAACATTCAACGACCAATCATTTCACCGGATTCTTCGCCCCACTCCAACATTTGACCAATCACAGGGCGGACATGTTGGACGACAATCTTATTCCTCGTGGCCGACAGGGGGCGTTTAGAGCAGTATACGGCGGAGAAGAAGTACGTGCAAAAGTGTTCGGTCGACGTGGTGAGTTTTTACACTTTAATTTAATTAAAAACACATTTAATACACTTCTGTTCGCGTTATGAGACTTCAGCTGGAGCCTAGAAGTGATTTCACCTCGCGCGCGTGTGTTGTCACGTCGTTTGCACAGTGCTAATTGTCATGTTGTTAACTTACAATGGCGTGTCGTCAGACGCGGTGACCCGTCCCGATGTGTTCATCATAGGTAGTGTATACAGGCAGCATTCACAGGATTATCACAGCGTTGTGATGCTGCTGCTCTGGCTTTTACATCTGACACACGTGTGTTGTTGTTGTCATGGCTGTTAAAGATGTGCATTAGTGCATTCGTTCATTCACGTCACTGAAGGCCTTCTTCTACCAAGCCAAAGAAACACGAGGCAATGGCGGACTCATGGATGTCCCGCCTGAGGAAGCGTGCCAGCACTGGAGCCCGGCCGGCAGGTGAGGGGAACAGGCCAGCTCCCAGACACCAGGAGTGGTACGAGCTGTACAAAGGGTAATAAGAGCACTGCACAGTTTATTTTATTACTTGTTATTTACTCGAATCATACTTTTGCTCATGATAGAAAATACAGTGAAAGCCAATGAGTTAATAAACATGTCATGAGCAAGTCATTTACATCAGCTCTGTGTCTGTGYTCATTTATATCAACTGTTATTTTTAGATTGAGAAATGTCCCATGCAGACGCATGGACAGATGTCCTTGTTCGGTCAGCTCAGGAAGCGTACCTGTGGATTCCACGCTCCGAAGGTAACACTGGTCACTTCAAGACTCAAGCAGTGTGTGTTCATATGTTTGTGTGTGTGCGCATGCATATCAGTGCAGATGCTAATTATGATAAATCTATTCTGTAATGAACCAACAGCCAACCGGAGCAAGTGCTGCTCAGGGGCCCACACAGCACCGGACTGGCGCAGTGGGTCCAGTTCACAGTACTTAGGGACAGCAGAGTGCAGCAGTTCCGAGCGTCCTGGGTCAACGTCCTGCAGCAGTGGGTCTGACCCAGAGCACCACTTCAGCAGCCGGTCCGGTACAGAGTACCATGGGTCAGCAGAGTCCAGCTGTGGGTCCAGTCCACACCACTGTAGGACAAAGTGCTGCTGTGGGACAGGTTCTGGGAGCAGGAGGACCGAAGCAGCGACCATCATTGAATTTGGCAATGGTGTTTGGACACTTAGACGCTCGTAACTGACCATGAATGTGTGAAATCTGAGCAGAGCCCGAAAAGTATCCCAGGTAAGAAGAGTTAGTACACTTACTTAAGCTTAAATTCTGTGTACTTGTACTTCTGTCGTTGAAGCAGTACAGCATAAAACACGTATGAGTCCTACATAAATAGAAGTACTGTAACAACAGGACAAAAAGATATTGTCAGAAGTGGGATTCGAACCCACGCCTCCAGAGGAGACTGCGACCTGAACGCAGCGCCTTAGACCGCTCGGCCATCCTGACGTAAAGCAGCGTGTACTCGGGGTAAATAATAACCACCTGCCATATTTACGTGATTTACAGTGACAGCTGATCTGTCTGCTGGTTGTCTCTGCCGCACCTCGCGACGCACAAAGTCCTCTTCCGTCACATAAGAAACCAGCAGCTGTTTTTTTTTTTTTTTTACCGGAGCGAGGGTTTCATCCATTCTACTCGGCGAGTTAGCTCGATGCTAGCTTGTTAGCAGCAGCTTGGTAAGTAGCCGAACATTGATTCGTCGCAGAGAAGAAGCTGTGAGTAACTTCACATGGAAACAGGAAGTACTGACAGAACTTTGCAGAAGAATAACAACTGTTGTTGTGTCCTCGCTTAAGCGACGTGTGTGTGTGTGTGTGTGTTAGTTCGTGACGTTAGCTGCTAGCTAGTTAGCATCCAGTGGTCATGAATTAGACTTTGATACGGAAGTTAAACGAGATCTTCGTCGGATCTTTGCGTGAAGCGAGGTGGAGGCAGCTGGTTGTGTTTCCTCACCAGGTTTACTGTGACTGACTGTGTTGACATGTGTTCACACTAATCCCTCAGTAAGTCACTGGACTAGCCAGACTAGCCACTATGCTAATATGCGTATCTCGTGTCTGCAGTTTACTCTGTTTCCAGCCGCCTCGCGAACATTCACAGTGTTGAGCTTGTTGTGGTGATATTTACAGACAGACCTGCTCGTCATGGCCAAAGCTTAGTAAAGTACGAGGAGCGTGATACTTGTCTTTACTGTGTTGTGTTTGCTAAAGAAAAGAGTCCTTCACAGTTTTCCTGAGTGTTTTTAATGATGCACAAATACCTAAAGTACAACTCAAACTTCAAACCCACTGAACTCTGGGAGCTCTCACCCAGTTTAGATTGAATGGATGTTTGACTATTTCCTATAAAGTCAAACAGTGTCTCTGCCCTTTAGCTGGAAATGTTAAAGTGTTTAGAATGTAGTGACATCTAGTGGCGAAGTGTCATGTTGCAGCTTAATACCCCACACCTAAATTTCAGTTGTCATAAAAACTGAAAAGGTCTTTAGTTTGTCCAGTCTGGCGCTACTGTAAAAAACATAGCGGCCTCCGTAGAGAGGTCCTGCTGCTGATGTCAATATAAAGTATTTAAATATTAAGGACCATACTCGGGTAAAGAAACAGTTGGTAGAATTTAGATGAAACACACTAGTGAAAACATTACTAGGATTATTTTATATTCAGTTTGTGTCATAGATCCCTTTCACCTGAATCTTACACACTGAACCTTGAGCCTGCCTCTGTAAATCTTGGTGTTTTATTTGACCAACGTGAATTTTGAGGGTCACATAAAGAAAGTGGTTCAGTCCCATTTCTTCCAATTTAGAAACATTGCTCAAATAAAAAGTGTATTTTCCTTCCAAGAAAATCATTCATGTATTTGTCTTCTCATTTTGATTATTTTAACTTGTCATTCACAACTTTGGATCGCTCTTCAGTGTCTCGCTCCAACTGGTCCAAAATGCAACCTTCAGACTTTAAACTAACACGGGACGCAGGTCATACATCTTCATTAGTTACCCTTACAATGTAGAATTGATTTTTAAATTATTGTAATTACACATAAAGCACTACCCTGCACACGGTGAGATCTTTACGCTCCGCTGATCCCAAAATCCAGATTAAAACCTAAAGGTGACATTTTCTGTCATGGCTCCCACCCTCTGGAACAGTCAGTTATAAAAAACAAATGCTCTAATGAGTAAAAATAATGAGTCTGTCAAAAAGTTGTTAAAAACTCACCTTTACAATTTAGTAACTATTTGAACTTGGTCTAGTCCTCATGGTTCCAGTATTTTTGCTTGTCCTCTGTGTAGTTTTTATTCTTCTATTGTTTGTGTTTTACTCTGTTACTTCCTGTTTTGTGCAGCACCTTGTAACTTTGGTTTTAAAGGTGATTTATAAATCAAATTGACTCACTTCCTCTGTCTGTCTGTCTGACTGTCTGTCTGTTCCACAGCCATGGCCTCCAATGCTCCACACAACTTCTCCTGGGTCGAACCAGGCAAACTGGCCGGACTGGCATTGCCCAGGATGACGGCTGAATACCAGTATCTGCTGGACAACGGTATCAAACACCTGGTTTGCCTGTGCGAGAGGAAACCGCCTTACCACGACTCGTGCCCACAGCTGCAGCTGCACCACATCAAGATAACAGACTTCACTCCCCCTTCGCCGAGTCAGATTGACAGATTCCTCACTATCGTGGAAGAGGCCAACTCCACTGGGGAAGTAAGATTTCAGATACTTGATCGACTGTGATTTGATGGATGGATTATTTTAGTACTTTCAGGGTCACGTACAGTATTATTTACAGTATAAGCTGTGACACTCTGTCAGTGTCTAGAATTACCCAGCATGCAGTCAGTTTTAAACCATCACACAGGCTGTCAGCACAACCTTATTTACCGAAGCTTATTCAGCTCTTTGTCATTTACTTCTTAAATTCAGACATGTTCAGTTTAAAATCCAACAAGACAATTAAATAAAGCAAATCCTCACAGTTAGGAAGATAGAGACAATGAATGTTTTGCAATCACAAAAAAGTCCCTCTAAAATAGTTGACGTTTAATTTCCTCTTGATGAATTCCTGAAATGAATGCAGGATCTGTGCGTAGCTACAGCTGATGAAACAATATTGCTGGGTTTCTCTTCAGGGTGTTGCAGTTCACTGCATGCACGGCCATGGTAGAACGGGGACAATGCTGGCCTGCTACCTGGTGAAGACGAGGAAGATTTCAGGCATCGACGCCATCAATGAGATCCGCCGGCTGCGGAGAGGCTCCATCGAAACGCACGAGCAAGAGAAAGCAGTGGTTCAGTTTTATCAGCGCACCAAGTAACTTTGACACAGAGGACTAAGTAACAGTTTTACAGACGTAGCACTGAATATTACAGATGAGTATAAAAGTATGCTAAAAAGTATTTTTTTACTTTATTCTCTACAAATAGGAAAATACAAAAAAATTATGTTAAAACAGGCGACAAATCAACAATGAACAATAATGAACTTAAATGTTAATTTCTCACATTATCCCCTGGGATATTTAACTAAGAGAAACACTTCTACAGTTAATTAATGCAGAAAATACCTGTTATATTGTACTGTATACTGTTCCTTCTACTAGCACATTATTACTTTTCTTTATATAAACTTTCTTTTACACGGCTGTAACTTCTTTTACGCACTGGACACCAGAGAAAAGAGACGCTGCCGCTCCTTGAATGTGAGCTTCTCAGGAGCTGTCGGGCTCTTGATTTTCTCCTCCTGGTTTCTGCAAATATACAAACATAACAAATACTTGAATTTTATTACTTGTGGTGGTGGATTATTTATAGAGACACAAACAGGATCTAGTTTTTTTTTCAAACACTTGAAAGAAATTTATTAAGCAAACAGTGATAAGCTTGACGAATGGAGACTAATGTAATAATCTTTATGTGCTTGTTGATTTCTATGTCATAAAGTCATCTTTGTAGAAATGCTGCAGAAATATCTGCATGTCAGTTGATTTAATTTCAATGTTTTGCTTCAATTGCTAAAAAAATGTCAACTCACTCTTTTGATGTGTTGTTATGCACATTTTCAGTCTGTCCAGTTGGTCTTTGATCTGCCAAACAAATAAATGCTGTAACATGAAATAAATATAATATATATTTGATGAAAACTGATTCTCATTGTCATGCACTCGTGAACAATTACCAATGTTTGCCTTGTCTTCTTTTTGGAGAATGTGATTTCCAGTCGTCTGCTCATTTAACTCTTTCAGTTCACTGTTGATATTTCCTCCAGAGCTTCTCCTGCTCTAAAGATGGAAAAATTATTAGCCATAGATTACTGAGACTTTTTAATCATCACCTCAATTATATAGCGGATATGACTTGTATCTCTGAGTAAGTATCACATGTGTCATCAAGCTACAAAGGTGCTCCTAAACCTGACTAGAAATTTGCCTCCATCTCCCAAAGAAACTCTGGGAAGGAACCAAAATCAAAAACCAAAGATTATAAAAGTTAAAACTTTTACTGATAATGGAAAAACTGCCCTGCAGATTTTCCCTTAAAGACGTGATGTGTTTCACCTGCGTCCTCGTCTCCAGCTGCTGTATCACCACCATCATGTCCAAATCCTCATATTCGTCCTCCTCATCGTCTCCTCTCTGCTGAATTTCCCGCAGCCTCTTCTGAAACTGCCACTCCAGGCTGAGTTTACGGAGTCGGTCGTTCTCCTCCACCGAGCGCTTCACCTTGGCCTGGAGCTCCTGAACCTCCTGCTCCAGGAGCTCAACCGCCTGAAGCCTGTGCTGCTTCTCCAGCTTCTCCTGCGTCTCCCTCCTCCACGGGTTGGTGAGCTCCTGAGGGCCTCTGTGCTTCGCAGCACCTGTGCCCTGCCTCTGTTGAGTGGGAGGTTCTTGGAAGGAAACATGTTTTGTTGGAGGGATGCTCACTTGAGGTTTTACGGCTTGACCCCTGAATATGCCGGGCCTGTGCTGCTGTGACGAAAGCGAAGGCCGGGGGAGCTTCTTGACTGCAGAGATGGGGCATGCATACATATGGTTGGCTTGATTGTAGGGGCTCTGACTGTGTCCGTTTATTTGAGGAGTTTGGCTCATCTTGGTCGACAGCAGAGACGGACTCTGGAAGGTGGTGAGTGGAGGATTTGACTGTGTGTTCACTGCTCGGGTGATGGGGATGTCGATACGTATGGGCTGAGCTGAGGGCGTGGATGTGGGGCGCTGGGAAAAAGGCGCCCTCCAGACACCAGCGCCACTTGTGCGAACGCCCTGCTGTTGCTTCATGGGAGAACTGTAATCAGTGAGGATGTCATGGCTGGAAACGCTGGAGCGAATAGGGAAAGAGGAGTAGTGGCTCATGGTGTGTTTGGCACTTGCGTCCTTCCCCCTTTTGTCCAGCAGGGGACCTCCAGTCTCCATACAAAGGTTTTCCTGTGAGAGTGCCTGACGCTGGAGGGGCACATACAAAGGTTTTATTTTGATTGTACAAATAATATTTAAGAAAAATTTGTCAGCATTCATTTGTTCACTGATTCTTGACACAATATGTAGAACACATGATGATACAAAACATTTTTAGAGCCTGAGGGACATCGATATTCACCATGTGCATCTTCTTACTGCAGCTGCTTCCACTCAAAGGCCCAAAAGACACTAATGTTTGCTGCGGTCGACTGGAATCAGATACGTTCCTGTCCTGTGATTTAGGGGTTGGAAGAGTCAAGTATTCCCTGTGAAATGTCTGAATGGAGGAAAGAAGGAAACAAAATGTGTATTTTGTTTCTTAAATTCATTAAAATAAGATACAAAAAATCACAGGCTCTTTTTTTCAGGGCAAAATAATTTGTTCTTGTCAGTGCAAGTAGAAGATGATGGATTATGTTTGTATGTTGAATCTAAGATGGAAGAAATTCCAAGTAAATAAATAAATAAAAACTACATAGGTATCTTACATCAGTGCAGAGGTTGATGGTGGAAGCAGCAGCCATGTTGTTTCCTCTCACAACCAGGTCAGCGGGTTCATCTCCATCCTCCGGGCAAAGGTCGGCTGAAATAAAAACATGATGAACCCTCGAGCATCAAACATATTTACTGAATGTGCCCAGTAGCATCTCAACATGGAAGAGCACCCACTGGTCATGTTGGGGTTGGAGCGATACAGCTGCCTGTTCCTCTGCATCAGCTCTTTCTTCCTCCTGCTGCCTCCGTGGGGCTGATGCTCTGACCGACCTGGATCCACTGCACTGTACAGCACCAGCGCTTCACCGTTTGGTTTGGCAAAGATTGTATCACCTTGTGAAGGAATGAAAGCTCTTGATTGGGTCAAGATGCAAACAAAAGTGATATAAATTAGGTTTTTGTTCATTTGGTTTTTACCTGTAGTGATTTTTGGGGCTGGTTCACTCAGCAGAGCCGCCAGGCCGTGGAAGCTCGCTCCAAACTTTGCCACCTGTAAGGTCACAACAGGGCCGGTTTGCACCATGATGGCAGCAGCCCTGAATCAATACAAGATTAATATGATCAACCAACAGCTGTTACTTCATGAATGATTGTGCCATCCAATAGTTTTCTGTCACATTTCCCTCAAAACAGCAGATATAAACCTAATGGTGGCGCTAGAGGAAAAGTCAGGGAAGCATTGAAGTTATCAGGATTCATCTTCTGGATGTTGTGAAGCTACCTTTCTTGGTTGAGGCCAATGAGGCTCTGACCATCCACACTGAGCAGCTGGTCTCCAGCTGCTAAGCCGCCGTTCTGTAGAGACACGTGAGGTTTATGTCAATCTTTCCTTGTATAATCTCAAGTTCAGCTGCATCAGAAACGTTCCTCACCATTTCAGCTGGTCCTCCCTGAACAACAGATTTGACATAAATCCCAAGGTTACCCTGCTGTGCTCCCTGTGGCAAAACAAGAGGGGGGTTTTAATTATCTAGGACGTTTAGCTCACAGGCCTGGTGTTAGAATGGTTCCAGTTAGTGAGCTGGAAAACATTTGGTCAAAATGAGGCAGTCACCTTGGCAGCCACGATGCTGACCCCCATCCCGCTGTTGAGAGGTTTCTTCAGTGTGATGGTCACAACCTCTGGCTCCCTGTGTGCTGCCTGTTAAACAGAATTAAAATAAAATGTACGACTGCTTCATAAACGCTTGATTTTCTATTGAAATTTGAAATTATACTTTGAAACATCTGCATTTACCAAGTATGTGTTCTCTGTAGGAGGTGTCGATTCACGGAAATACACGGTCCAGTCACCTTTAGGGTTCGGCTGGGATGTTATAGAGCAGAGACCTGGAAGAGATGGATGTCAGGAAGTACTACACAAATAGCTTATTTTAGTAGTTTTAAATACAGTACATCCCTGGGGTGTTATTTAGAAGTTTTGTATTTTTAATAGAGAATTCACAATCGTGTATACCTTTACGGCAAATTGGTTCTAAAAACTCCCTCAACCCAGGAGGGATTCCTCTCACAGTGTCACAGGAGTACCCTCCCTCCGGGAGCAAGAAGGGCAGGTGGAGGTCGAGGCTCTCCTCCAGCTGGATGTCCCGCCCTTCACTGCCAATCAGGCTGTCTGCCGAGGCCTCGGCGGCCGTCACAACAGCATCGATCAAATCCTGCAGCGAGGATAACAGAGGACAATATTTCAGGAAAAGGTCATTCTAGGATATATTGATTTAACATTTGTCATTCTGTGGCTCCAATCTGCAGACTAAGACCCTGAGCAAAGTACTGAAGACCTTCCTGCAGATTACCTTGACCGCTCACCTCAGTGTAATGTAATGTAAATCCTCCAGTTCACAAAACTTCTGTCTTATGTCGAACAACCAACTTTCTTTTTGTTCAACCATCTTCCTGTTCTCATCTCTCAATTTATGCCCTTTATCTATCGTCTTCATTTATTTTACCAAATTATGCTCATGAGAATGTGGTTCTGTTTTACGGCCTCCTTTCCACATCTGTCCACTTATTCTGCTCTGCTCTGACTGAGATAGCCTCTGTGCTGTTATCCATATTAACACCACACTCATTTGAATTCAGTTCAAGCTGCTGTTTCTCTATTAAAGCGTCTGCTCTGCTGTCTGAACGGTTTAGAACCAGTTTACATGGACAAAGGACTTTTTATTATTTTACTGTTTTAACATGTAGTAATTGGTGGGCGGTTCCCACACTAACGAGCACACCTGTGGCGGGATCATTGTATTGACGAAGCCCCGCCCACTTCTGCCACCCATGTCCTCTGCTCTTTTCCTGTGAGCCTGTTAGCTTAGCTGCTAGTTAGTTTGTCAGCTGCCACAAATGTTTAGCTGGCTTAACTTAATCTGGAGTTTCCCATCGTGCTGTCAACGACTGTTCACCTCCACAAGATAAGTCTTTTTTTTTATTAGTCTCCTAATTAGTTGTTGTGTGTTTGTGTTACCTGCTCTCTCTTGGAGCTGCTCTGTTTATGCATTAATACAGATTTGGTATTTGCAAATCAATTTCTTGTAGAAGCTCAGCTCATGTTTGACAACACTTTGCAGGATTGTGCCTCTATTGTCTGTTAGCATTAATAAATAGCTTCATTAGAGTCGCAGCTAGCATCATGTTTTCTAAAATAATATTTTTGATACAGGGATGTACAATCCTGGTGTTTTTGTTTGACAGCTGAAAAACAAATGCACGGTTATTTGTGTGAATGTCGCAACAAACAAAATGGGCACATTTACCCTGAAACTATCACAAACACGTGAAGCAAGGATGTGTCATAGTTTAAACTAGAAGTAAATGTTACAGAGACGAAATTGTGAAGAAACTCGAATATACACAAAGTAAGATTAGTTTGGCACATCCATTATGATGTCTTCATGCTGTCGATAGTTAATTATGGATGTTGATGGTTATTGTTGTGTGAGTTTCAGTGGCTGAAGTGAGGTCATGATATATTTCCAGCTACAGCTGTTGCCTTGGAGGCTCTTATTGGCTCAACTGATGATTTAAACAAATGCTGTCAGGCCCATCGACAACATTTCTGTCCTCTGATAAAAGCTTCATGAGGAAACATGATTTGGATTTTGTAACTCATGGAATATTCACATTAATATGCAATAAAGCATTAGAGAAATATTTCACTCAGAAGCAATCAGGTAATGTGACAAGTCGCTTTACTTGTTTTCATATATTATTCATAATCACATTCATCATTGTTAATTATTCATACTGTTAAATCTATCCTGCTGAGCCTCTCTCGTGCAGTCGAGGCTGCTGCTACAAATTCATTATAAAACTTATATTCATACATGACGTCACCTGCTTTGTACAGTTTTAAACCCCAAATACCACCAGTTTCTCTGTATCCCCCCCATGCACATGAGTTGCCTCTGATCACTGATCACAATTCCTCTTTTATTCAAAGATCTCTGTTAAGGATTTTTCTCAAAAGCTGCATCGTGTTTTCAGAAGCAAATGGGAGAAAGACAGGAGCTCAAGAGGAGGAACACGCTGCGGTACTCACAGGGGGGATGTGAGGCTCAGTGTTTGCATAGAGGTAGCCAGCGAGCAGCGTCTGCAGCTGCAGGGAGTTCAACTTGAAACAGGTATTCTGGATGTCCTTCGCCTCTTGCATTGAGTACTTATTCATGGTCAGGAGTGTGGTTGCCTAGAAACAGAGAGGCAACAGTATTTTAACAGCTTGAATGTGCTCAGACTCTGAATAAAAAGCTGGGATAAAAACTGCCAAATCACGAACAAGTTCATAAAGAGTCGATATTGAACATAATATAGATGCAGAGAAGTCTTTGTCATATTCTTAGATTTCTTTTTAACCTTATTTGGATTATTTATCCATCATTTGCTCTGTAGATCTGAACAACCATCTTCCCAAGAATAAAAGGTAGAAAGTATTTCACCTAAATGCTATCTCACAATGTACAGTTTAATCTCTGACATGGATTTAAAACAAGGTGATTAAATGTACCTCCTCATCAAATGATCCCAACATAGTTTTTTGGTAAATGCTGTTACCAGTATTCAGACAGGAAGTTCAGGGTGGAACTGACCTGGATGATGTGTCCGAGGTGGCAGTCAGCGGCCAGCTCCAGGCCCTGCCTCTCCGCCCAGGCCTCGATGCCGGTAAGCCTCTGGCGGAGAGCTGCTCCCCAGTAGTGGGAGCGCAGGCCTGGAGCGCTGGCCGCTGGGCTCATGAGCCGGTTGAAGAGCCAGGCACTGATGAAATGGAAGAGCTGGGAGAAGAGCTGGATGGTGAGGGCAGGGTTGACCCGACAGCGGCGCAGCAGAGACATGGTGTTCATCAAGGTGTTCAGCACCATCTCTGTGACACGCGGATAAAACTTCAGTATCGCAGCTCTTGTAAGAGTCAATTATTGTTTCAGTAATTATTGTCATCAATGAACGTTTACCTATACCAGCCGGCAGGGTACCATGTTGCTCAGGATCGATCAGAAAAGTTGGCAAATGCTTTGTTAACTCATTCTGTAGACACTGTAGCAGGCAGCTAGGAAGTATAAAACACACATAAACATTTAGATAAAGATCCATGTCATTATTTTAACACTTTCTTTTAAATTACCACACAACCTGGGTTAGGAAAATTTGCTCTTTAGGTCAAATTGAATAGACAGAAATATGTTGTCTCACAATAAGCAGTATTCTTGGGCTGCAACTGACTAAACTAAATTATATTAATTAATTGATTTGTTTCCAGAGTAGTTGTTAAGTCTATGAAATATTTTAAAAGATTTGAAAAGGTAATCAACTTCCCCCAGTCCCTCAGAAATCATCATCTAATTGCAAATGTCTTCGAACTAACAACCCCAGTAATTTTCTTAGATTATAGAAAAGAGAAGTCACTTGTATTTAAGAAACTAGAAAAACCAGTACCACATTCACAAGTCAGTAGAAATGTATTTTAAAGTCCAAAGTACTGAGGTGTATGTAGTGTATTCTGTGTTGTTTGGGATTTGGGGATTTGGGAGTTGAGGTTTGCTGCTGCAGAGCTAAAGAATGTTTTTTTTACTGCGGTTTGTTTAGACCTGCAGGACAAATGCTTGAGTGGGTAGAGACCGAGTGAGGCGAGCAGGATCAGATGTGATTTTAGCTCCACTGTCACATGTTTTAACACAGTGACATGTTCGATTTGAAGGAGAAAGCTGTGTCTTACATGAGGAAAGAAAAACTGAAAAAGCACCATATGCCTCCTTTATCGTCTTGTTGTTTCACCTGTGAGCTCTGTGCACCAGGTGGGAGAGGTCCAGCTGACTTTGCCGTGTGAGCGGGCAGAGGTCTTTGTCATGCTTGAAGAAATTCAGCAGCTCAGAGGAGTTGGCCATCCAGAAGGCGAGAGCCCCAGCAATGGTCTGCTGCCTCTGAGGGTCAAACACAGCAGCAGTGTCGTTTAAACTCGCACAACATCTGGGCTCTTGTTTATCGCTCTGATCCGTTCAAATGGAACTAAAGTATCGGTGTTTTCTCCCACTTGCCTGGATGACCTTCCGTGTCATGGCCACCATTTTGCTAGTGATGGATGTGACACAGTGCGTGTGTCCTGAGCGTGGCGAGCCTTGCCTGTGATGGCGCTGCAGGGTGAAGCGTCCCACAGCATAGAGGATGTATGCAGGTGAGAGCTTGAAATGAACCGTGGAGCTGTTGGTGTAATTTATGACTGCAGACAGGAAGGCCTCCTCAGCTGAGAAGTGAAACACACCAGCAGGGGGCACTGAGCTTCTGACTATTACACTTGAAAATAACTCAGTGGAAGGAAAACCATTAATCTCATATACTCACAGTTATCACAGAGTTTAATCCCAAGTGGTAATCCAAGCTGATCTGAAAAGTCAGGATGAAAACTTTCACACCAGCAACCGTCCGTCCTTATGTTATGAAATTTAATTGTTATAGAACAGATGTTGAATATTCCTGTATTTCCTGCATGGAAGTAAAATGCTCAAACACCAAACTGCACCATTCATTACAGTTTCTATATTCCCACACCTTTCAGAATCCTCACCTGCAGCCTGCCTCTGTCGCTTCTTGTTTTCTGTGCTGTGTTTTGCCTCCTGGTTGTTAAGTGGTTCTTCAGTTGACCTGGATATTGGTTTTAAAAGGGTGGATGGTTTTTTCGGACAGTTAGGTTCAGCAGGCCTGGGAATAGTCGTCTGAAAATAATGACTCAACGTGAGCTCTGAACATTTTACCCCTTTTCATCTCCTGAAACCTTGTCAGCAGCTTTAGCTTTGTTCTTCTCCGTCTTCTTGTCTTTTCTTGACAGTGTCCTCTTGAAGTTTTGGATTATGCCTCCTTTCTCCTTCTCCTGAGAACTTTCCTTTATTTTTTCAACACATAAAAAAACATAAAATTGTGTTTGTGTATGTGAAGGGAGAAACTATCAACTGACTAAATTATCATATACCTGTAAAATAGCACCTTCATATGAGATACACCTGGTTAGATCATGCAATAAGAAATAGGTGGATGATACCTGGGAAATGTCCTTGTCCTTCTTGAGCACAAAGTGTCCTTCTCTGTTGTCTGAGCTCCAGTTTAATTGTACAATCAAAGGTTTGTCGTCCTGCTCTAGTTTGCGTTCTTCATAAAACAAAGACAAATTATCAGAGTGAACCTAATGACAGTTTGCTGGACTGCGATGTGGATTCTCTGGTCCAGCAGAGAAAGTCTAAATGAGCACCAATGCTTACCCTTCTTGGCGTGGATCTCGTAAAGGGAATAACTGGAAGTCAGCATTTTCATATCAGGCCTGAATTTCTCCGAGAGAGTTTCAATAATCTCATGAGTTGAAGAGTTGCTGCAAACACGCAGGCACTTTGTGGCCACGTTTCCCTCATCGTGATTCTCATAGTAGAAACGCATCACACCGTGAAACTCCAGATTCTGCTGGGAAACCAAAAAGTTTTTCAATGTGTCCTGTGGTTTCTGTTTTCGTGACTATACAGTTAAATATGCTTTGAGAAAATGTCGAGAAATAAATTCTTGTTTCCATAAAATGCTGCTTTGAATGTCACATCAAACCAGCTGCAATATGAAAACATTCTTTTGTCATTAGCACAACATTAACTCTGTGCTCATGGTTTGACCAAACCCCACAATCAACATCATGAGAGAAAAAGTCTGAATTCATGCAGATTCGCTGTTTACTGATCAGGAAACTCATTTAAGTCATGTGACTGGTTCACATGACGATACTATTGTGATGTAAGTGCAAAACGTTCAGTAGAGGGTGACCTAAAGATTGTAAATGTGACGGTAAAACAAACCTAAACTAAATGTACAGTATGCCTTTAATACACCAACTGTCAACACAGTGAAATGTCACAATGGTCACAACAAAATGAGGCAAATCACAATATCAGGAATCAGAATAGCAAGGATGTTATTTTTTGATCATTGCAGCAAATTTTTTCACTAATAATTTGACCAGTTCAACAAAAAAACAATTTTGACAATCTTTTAATCCTCTTGTGGCAGAAATGCTCCATATTCTCTGGTTTCAGCTTCTCAAATTGCAAGATTAGAGAATCATCCTTTTTTAAATTGAGAACCTCATTTTATTATTTTTATTTTCCTTCATTTGACAGACAAAACGATTAATCAAAAAGTGATTGGTTGTCCTTCAGTTACGATTCCTGTAGTGTTACAGTTTCTGTTAACTTTATAAAACAGCTCTGAGGTTTATCTAAAGTTAAAACGCCTGGAGGTAAATCCAAACTTAAACTGAGTGAGGTGCATGAATCCAGTCTAGTGTTTCCAGCCCACTCACCTCATCAGGTTGGCTTATTTCAAACAGGTCCAGTCTGTTGTTGTTCCACTGTCTGATGACTTTGGCTAACTTCTCTCGTTCTTCCTCCTCTGGCATTTTTCACCAATTAACGTCAAAGTCTCTGTGACTGACTCCTGTGGGGTTTTCTCCCAAAAAACCAAAGAGAGGAATAAAAACAATCCTTTGAAAGAGAAGTTATTATCTGTAGTGACTAATGTATTTAGACCCCACCCCGTCCTCACTCTATTCTCTGTTAGTTATATTCTCATTGTACTGCGCAGGGAGTTCTTAAACATAATTGCCTACTTCATCCCCACGTTCACATCTCCTCTCCCAGCCCTCGCACCCCTCTGCTCTCATTTAACGGGTCAGTGGATCTTTGTTATGTGAGGCAAACACTTCCCTCATCATAGATCCTTCACAGGCAAATGATTAGAGTCAGCTAAAATCTGTCACTCTCTCTTAATTCGTCACCAGATCATTTCCGTTACCCAAGGTTTATGTTCGGATCTCTCATCACGGGTATTTACACGTATTTAAGTATTTTGATATATTCGAACCGTGTCGCAGAGGTCGTCATGTGATTTGCGCAGTGTGCGGTGGACTCAGAGACATTTCCACAGTAACCATGAGAGATTTCCATCCTCCTCTCTACACAGAGACATGCATGTTCACGCTTGAGAGAATCCCACTTCTCATGCATACCAGTGATTTTCAACACAATTTACGGTTACATGTCGTCCCATTCAGTCGGCTCTACGTATGTGGGGCAGCTTTTGTTGGCTGCACCAAAGCTCTCGGGGTAAACCTACAATGGAACAAAAGGCTTTAAGAAACCAACCCTCAATTAGATATACAGAACTGCATTAAAAAAAACTGAACAATCAAGGGTATTGTTGTCTGGATGCTGGAAACTGCGAAGGAGGTTTTTCTTTTTTAAGGAAAAACACGTCCTTTCTGTGATGATGATCCCTTTGAGAGACAGGTATGGGATCATAGTCCAACAGTGTAATTCTGTCAATATTGTTTTGAAGAAAAATATGTTTTTATAATAAGAAAAAAACTGTTTAAAACAGCATTAGAATCCAGATCTGACTGATGTGGCTTTGATTTATGATACCTGATTCCTCCCTGGGATCACCGAGCCATGGTGCATTACATTTAGCATGTTGTTGCATTAACTTCCATCGAGAACATCTTACTAAATTTTGCAGGATCACTTACTGTTGATATATGTTTGTTTTGGTTATAGTTGTCAGTTTTTATCAAGATCCATCAAATGAATCCCCGGGGAAGTTGGTGAAAATGTAAAAACAAAAGCCCTATCTCGTGTTCGGATCCAAAATCACTTTAATGAAGTGTGTTGTGCATGAAGGGGTTTGATGTTCACTGTGCAGATAAAATGTCCTCCAGGGTCAGTCGGGTTCTGGCAGCAGTGACAGAACAGCGACCTCCCATGTTCGACCAAAACAAAACAAAAACCAACCAGTGTATTCATGATACAGTTGCTCAAAGTACTTATTAGTTTTTAGTTGTCTGATGTTTACCTGATTTGTCACCAGGTCTCCAGCAGAGCAGACAGGAGAACTGACGGATCGGCATCAACTGATCTTTTCACCTCTTCCAAGGTATTTTTCTACTGACGCTATTCTGACAAACACACAGCAACAGTATATCACTGAAATGCCAGCACACGTGTTTTGACAGATGTTAATTCATGAGTTTTCTTAACAAGAACAGTTACATAAAAAGAAATAAATCAAACTCGGTGTGTCTGGTGAAATACATTTTGATTGATGGTCCCCAGCCGGTATCTCAGCACTAAACTGTAACTCATCATCCAAACACTGTGGAAAGGAATCCCACTGCACCTGTGTTACATCGGCCACACTCTGGGAGAATGAAAAAGTTTCAGGCGATGGCAGTGCAGAGAATACTTTTGAGATTTTTAACAAAATTGAAATAACTGACTGCCAGCTGCTGAAAGTCTTGCACAGCTGGAAATGTCATTCAACAAAGTCTTTAGGGTTGTTTTAGTTTATTGGGTCTGAGTTCTGAAGGAAAGGATAGATGCACACTGAGGTTAGCTGTTGCACAGTTGAAACACTTCTCCATCTCTCTTAGACGCTGTCTCTCCTCACAAGTGTAATAGATATTATTTAATGTCAATGGGCTCCGTTACGCGTCACATCTATTGCACTTCAAATGTTCTTTGGTTATTTTCTCCTCACACTAGTTGAGTGTTGAGGACAAATCATTGTCAGCTTTGTTCAGCTCTATTCTTTACAGCATCAGTGTGTCAGTGACAGCACTTTTAGTGACTTGAGTAAGTGTAGATACTCGTTAGATATCATTTAAAACCACAAGTACAAGTGTAAGAAGTTCATTTATACCAGTCAGTTTATAGTGAATGCTTCATTCAAAAGTAAATGCTTATTTTTTTACTTGTCTCTTTTACTTGTTGTAACACAACTTGCTCACTCGCTTCACCGTCTGTTTAATTTTTAAAAAACCTGGTACATTTTTGTGTATTGAGTGAAAGAGCGCTACGAGCGACAGAACAAAACAGGTTAGAGATCTTTTATGTTGTTAAGAGAAGTGCAGCACAAGAGTGAGGCCGCCTGCAGAATATATCGATATATAATCCTCATGCATTTTGTAAGCACAGTGAGGAGCGATTACTTCGACCTCAGATTTGTAAAATGTTTTGTTTATCAAGTGTTTGTCTCGGCTCATGATTTTTATGTCTCTTTGACACATAATGTAGCTCCTGCTCACAACCGTCTGCACAAGGCTGCAGCAGGTGACTGGTTCTGCTCAATGCAGATTCTGTGCCTGATGAATTCATGGAGAGAGTCTGTGGGAGATAAAGTAAAGTTAAAACCTGTTAGGATTTATTCTGTCTGTCTGATTATTGACAGGCGTTCTGCTGCCACCACTCAGAGTACAAACCATAAATCGCCTGCCAACTGCAGAGCACGGTGTCTGCATGTCTATTTTTACGCACTCTTGTCTAGCCTCACAAAGTGCTGCCTACCTTTTCTGCTCTCCTTGACTGCGAGCTCCTGCAGAGCTTTTCCATTTTCAATAAAAAGCCGTGAGAGCTTTCACACAAGAGACCAGCTGGGTTTGCTCCCTCAGCCATTTTCTATTTGAATGTGGTTCTGTGATAGTTTCCTGAGATCTGCAGCTTCAAATAACCTCTGCTTTCTTTACACATGTGGAAGCAAAAGATGTTTCTGCTGAAGCTTTGTTCAAAAAGGTGTTCCACTTGTTTTAAATTCAGTTGTGTGATATGAACCATTCAGTCTGTGAAACCAGATGCTGTTAATATTTTGTAGTGATGATCAACCTGGAGCTTTATGTGTATATGTAGGAAATAAGGAATCAAACCTTTCTTCATTTCTTTATCTGTGAGTTAGGAAGCCATTAAGCTGCTTAGCTGTAGTCGTACCGTTGCAAGAAATACAAGGAAGCATCTCTTAAATCACTTGACACATCAGGATCAGACACTCAACATTAAAGCCAGCATTTTTCTTTTTATTGCCACGAACCTCAGCTGAATCTGGTTTCTTTTTTCACAGCATTAATCAACTGACTCCATTTCCAAATCTCTCTGTTCTTGCTCTCCATCCGGCTCGCCTGCCTGGAGTTGTTCGCCATTACTCTCCTCTCTCTGGATCTGTTCTGGCTCCTGGACGCCCTCGCAGTGTCCTTGTGATTGGCTAGCGACTGTTTCTGTGGGTATGATATGAGAGATCGTAAAAGAAGTGGCGATCTCCTTCAGACGGGTCTGCTCGGCTTTCAGTTTTGCCAGTTCCTTGGTCAGCGGAGTTTCGATTGTCGGGGTCCCAGTAGGGGCAGCAGGGGCGGGGGCTTCAGTATTCTGGACTGGGCGGTCATCCTCCGCGTCTTTAGGGGTCTCCTTCACCTCAGGGACCTCCTCCGCCGTGGGTTCAGCAGTGTTGACGTCTGCTTGACCTGCAGCTCCCTGCACCTTCTCATAAAGACCCTTCCTCTCCTCTTGCAAAGCCCTGCACAGATTCTCCAGCTTCTGGTTCTTGATGGTGATCAGCTCAAACTCCTTCTCCTTGATCGCTTTCTGTAGAGGATTAAAACATATTTAACGTGTCAGTAGAAGTGAGGAGGTCTTTGCCACCGTCGTCCAAGGTTGGTGGACAAATACAGCATGGGTCAGGTGGCAGATACAGTCATTTCTCTGAGAGTAATTCATGGATCTTGAACAAAAGAATACTTAGAGGACTTATATCTACGAGTGTGTGCAATTTGTCTAAGTTGAATTTAAGGGGAATGTTGGACCTTAGCAGATACGTACTCAACAGATTTCTTTCAGTAAGTCTTGCATTTGTTCCAAAGAAACAAATCCTAATTTTCAGCTAAAAATTGACAAAGAGAAAAAAATGCTTCTTACATCTGACACCATGTCAAGGAGACTCTTGTTGCAGCCGTCAAAGCGAGTCTTCCATGACTGGCACTCCTTCTCCAGCTTTTTCATTTTCTTGGCCATCTACAACACACACACAACAAACGCACAACACATGATCAAAGTGTCTTCTAAAAATAAACGGCACAGCAGAGTGTAGGACTATACAGTTTGTCAGATTGTGTTATTGCGAGTCTCTTAGGATTTTTTCTTGTTGTTTGCATACAAACTAAATAATCAAACATCTTGAGGCTGACTTCAAATATTCTGTAAAGCAGATCTTACTTTGTCCATGTCCTGCTTGAAGCCGCTGTAGACGCTGTTACTCTTTGATACCGTGCCCTGGAATTCATCAAACTTCTTGGAGTACATATCGAGCTGGGGAGAGACGGGGGAGAAAAATGTTATACGCGTCTCCGGGGAGGTAGAAAAACAAGCTAATTTAGCTCATGATGCTGTGTTACTGTATACCTGGGTCTTCATATCGATCTCCTGCGCCTTCATGACCTTCACTTGCAATTTATACTCTGCCGTCTGTTTTAGCAGCTGTGGGACATTCCATGAAAATGAGCATTAGGAGGATAAGTATTGAAAATGTTATTACAATGCTTTAGCACTCGACAAATCTGAGACACACAAAACCTACAAGCTC